CAGTTTTTGTGGAAGCGGTTGTAGCTGCCCAGCGCGGTCAGGGCGCCCAGACCGATGGCGTAGGAGAAGAAGATCTGGGTGCCGGCATCGATCCAGACCTGGGGTGCAATGGAGGGTGTTGGGGAGCAAGGAAAGTGTTAGGGGGGTCCCTTTATCCTCCTGCCCTCTCCACTGCCCTCACCTGCGCCTCGGCCAGCTTGGACCAGTCAGGTTTCAGGTAGTAGATGATGCCACCCAGCGCCCCAGGCAGTGTCACCCCATGGACCAGCAGCAGGATGAGAACCACGTAGGGGAAGAGCGCTGTGAAGTAGACGATCTGCAGAGGAGAGGGTGCTGGTGAGACCCTCACCAGGCTGGGGTCTCTCTGTCATGGGCCACAAGTGTCCCAGGGCTGGGGGATGTCCCCATCAGACAGATGTGGGATGGAGGGTCTTGTACACCACTGGGCTGGGGCACAGGAGCCAGAAGTGCCACGTGCTGGTGGCTCCAATGCGTTCTCCCTGCCACGAGCATCACCTTCCCGGTTGACTTGACACCCTTCCAGATGCAGAAGTAGACGATGACCCAGGTAGCGATCAAGCAAAGGATCATCTGCCAGTTCATCTCCCCCGGCTCGCTGAGGGCCCCCGAGAGCCGCAGCACCTTGTTCCTGCAGAGTGGGGCTGTGCTGAGCACCAGGGTGATGGCACCAGCCCCAGGACAGCCCTCATGGCCCCTGTACTCACTCCCAAAACTCGATGACGGGTGAGCGCTTGTTGCTCATGTCGGCGCAGCTGACGTTGAAGAGGTCGGTGGTGGCATTGATGCTGGCGTTGTAGCAGAGCTCGAAGTGGAAGAGCTCAGTGCACTGCTCCGTGTTCCAGGGGTGGCCGCATGTGGCCCAGGGCAGTGTGTCCGTCAGCGAGTGCACCAGGTAGTAGAGTCCCCACACCAGGATCATGATGTAGTAGGAGTTGCAGAAGAAGACGATCACCATGGAGGCCAGACCCAGACCTGTGGCACAGGGAGGTCAGAGTCTGTAGGCACCCATCGCAGAGCCTGGGGTGGGATGAGGGGTGAGGTGCTGATGGGGATGGGACAGGGATAGCTGGTTGGGATGGGACAGGCGGAGCTGGTGGGGATGGGACAGGCGGAGCTGGCAGCCCCGGGCAGGACGGGATGGGGA